TTCAAACTACCATTAGTAGCACACTCCTTTATCAGCCAAGCATAGCATAGCATAGCAATCCATTTCTCAGAGATATTAAAATGTAGTTTTGCTTAACTTTTATGATATCCAATAAGTAGGTTAAAGGGTTATTTAAATAAGGACTGTCTAAATTATTAAGAAGTAATACTTTAACTCTCTAAATTATAAAAACATACAAATGAACCCTCTAAACTATTGAGAAGTATCACTTTGACCCCCTAAACTATAAAATATACAAATGGATCCCGTAAACTATTAGTGTTTCACCTTGACCACTTCCATTACTGCATTGACATTTTTGAAACGAAAATATCTTTCAACACTCTATAACACACCCAACAACACTTCTTCTCAATTTTTTCTCATTTTTCTGTTTTATTTTATTTTTTCAATATTCTTTTTGCAAAAATATATTTACAAAAACTATTTAAAAAAATAATAATAAAACAATAATAATGAATGAATGTTTATAATTAAAAAATATATATAAAATAATAATAATGAAATTATAAATATATAAAGTGCCAAAGGGTATTTTTGTCTAAATTTTTTTTAAAAGTTTAGTTTAACTCACGGTGTAGTAATAGAAGGGTCAAAATGAAACATGCCAATTGTTTAATGGGTCCATTTGTATGTTTTATAGCTTAGAGAGTTAAAGTGATACTCCTTAATAGTTTAGGGGGTCCATTTGTACTTTTATAGTTTAGGGGATCAAAGTGAAACTTCTTAGTAGTTTATGAGGTCTCTATGTAAATAACCCTATTTTAAACAGTTCATTTTTTGAAAAAAATCAAACAAATTAACTCAAAGACCTGTGGGCAATGCAAACAATGATCCTATGTTCTCTGTTTCAAAATATTTAAAAATTATTGAATCATATAAAAAATTTAAGATATTAAAAATTTTAATACATAATTTAATGGTTGTAAGTATTTTTAAATAGTAAACAAATGTCCGCTCAACTGCATCTTATGAAACTACATATAATTTTTATATTTTAAGAATTTGTAACACATCATCGAATGAACAAGTCTTGTATATTAAAGGCATTGAAACGCTATTGTGGATGAATCCTAAACCCTTCTTTTTTTATAGCTTAGAGAGTTAAAGTGATACTCCTTAATAGTTTAGGTGATCCATTTGTACTTTTATAGTTTAGGGGATCAAAGTGAAACTTTTTAATAGTTTATGGGGTCTCTATGTAAATAACCCTATTTTAAACAGTTCATTTTTTGAAAAAAGTAAAAATCAAACAAATCAAACAAATTAACTCAAAGACCTGTGGGCAATGCAAACAATGATCCTATGTTCTCTGTTTCAAAATATTTAAAAATTGTTGAATCATATAAAAATTTTAAGATATTAAAAATTTTAATACATAATTTAATAATTGTAAGTATTTTTAAATAGTAAACAAATGTCCGCTCAACTGCATCTTATGAAACTACATATAATTTTTATATTTTAAGAATTTGTAACACATCATCGAATGAACAAGTCTTGTATATTAAAGGCATTGAAACGCTATTGTGGATGAATCCTAAACCCTTCTTTCTCTTACTAAGACTACAAATTGCTCTTGTGAATTATAGTCAATGCCAAATATATAAGCAGTGATTTCAAATTTGGAAGTTAATCGTGCTCTAAGTAAGATAAAGTTCGGTTTTTTTTGGAGTGGATAGTGAAAAAATTGACTAATAAGTCACCTCTATAGTTACTTTACAAAATCACACTCATCTCATATAGCTCCTCAATTTTTAATTTAATTTTTACTTACAACTTATCAGTGGCAAAGCCAGGTATTTAGTGAAGGGAGATACAAATTAATGACAACGCTGAATATTTTTTCTTATAATAAACCACAATAAGATGTTACTAAACTTAAATCTTAATAGTCTATTTAAATAAATGTGAATTCTAAATCAAGGAATTTGAGGTTAAAAAACAAAAGCAAAAGCCTACTCAGGAAAAACGGAGCAATTACCCAAAAAAAAAAAAAAAAAAAAAAAAAAAAAAGAACTATCTGAGGTATTGTTTGTTAATACTTTTGTTTTATGTTTTTGTTTTCATTTTTTTAAAACTAAAAAAGAAAACTCATGTGGTATAATATATATATATTTTTTTAAATGAAATTGAATTCAAAATTATTAAAATTTTTGAAAACACAAAAAAAAAAAAGTGTTTTAAGTTGTTTTTAAAACAAGTTCACTTTCTCCTCTCACCTACCACCCACAGCTATCACTACCACCGACCACCACCACCCATCGACGGTGGGTAACGAGCTCTAGCCAACCCCCGACGACTCTCCAATGGGTCGGTGGTCATCGTCATGATTTTCAACTACTTTTTAGCATACCTAGGGATGGTAATAAGTAAGGTATGGGCCGGGGCCCTCATACCACAACCCTATTTTTACTGCTTGCCCTGACCCAACCCTCATGAAGCTCTCCCCATCCAAACCCGCAATTACCCCGACCTTACCCGATACGCAACACAATAAAAAATTTAACAATAATATTAAAATTTAATAATTAAAACAAAAAATGCTATTTATAATTATAATAATAAAAAATAATTAAAAAAAAAACTATGCCGTTTGATAACACTTACGTTTTCTATTTTCTGTTTATATTTACAAAAATTTTAAAAACTCAAATAAAAACTTGTTTGATAAAATTTTTGATTTATAAATCAATAATCTCAGTTTATAAAATTGGCCAAAAAATGAAAACACAAAAAAGTGTTCCATTTTGATTTTCAATTTTTTTTTTACCACCAACACTAGCCACCACCTGCCACAATTTTCCACCACCGTCTTCCGCCACCCACCACCCACCCCCACCACCACCTCCACCACTCACCACCCACATGCACCACCACCCACCTGCCACCCACTTACCACCACCATCCACCCCTCGCCACCGCCACCGCACCGCCACCGCCACCACCCACACTGTCATCCACCCGCTACCGCCCACCACCCGCCACTACATCCACCGCCCGCCACCATCACCGCCACCTACTGTCCACCACCACTCACCACCCACCTGCCACCCACCCCATCCACCTGCCACCACCACACTACTACCACCACCACTCACTCCTACCACCTACCATTGTCACCCACCCACCCCCACCACCACCACTCGCCACTACCCACACACCCCCACCTGCCACCACCACCTACCACCCGCCGCCGCAACCACCCACTTGCTACCACCCATCACTCGCCACCGTCACCCACCCACCCACCATCACCACCCACCACCCATCCGCCACCACCCACCACCATCCGTCACCCACCTGCCACCACCACCCGCCACAACCTCTCACTCGCTACCACCCACCACCGTCACACCACCCACCACCCACCCCCGCTACCTACCCGCTACCACCACCTGCCATCCGCCACCCACCACCACCCACCACCGCCACCATCACCCACCCACCCACCCCCACCAGCTATCCACCACACTCACCATCATCACTTCCACCACCGCTTCCGCCGCCACTTGCCCACCACTTGCTATTTCTCATTCTTTTTATATTTTTAAAATTTTTTAACATTTTGTCAATTTACCAAACGCATTTGTAGTTTATGTTTTTCAAAAAATAAACAAAAACCAGTTTATAAAATTTTGTAAATATAAACTGAAAACGTAAACGTTACCAAACACCGAGTTTGAGACTTGTAACAAAATAAATCCTAAATTTTTAATTTTGTCAATTCAAACCCCAATCTTTTAATTTGTTTTCAATAAGAATCATTCACTTATTTTTGTTAATTAAAATCAACAGAAAAAATATATATATTTTAGTTATTAAATTCAATATAAGCATACATAAAATGTTTAAAATATCATTTTTATTGAATTTAATGATTAAAATAATTTTTTTTTATTATTGATTTTACTTTACGAAAATAGACAAATGTTTAGTTAAAAACAAATTAAAAATTTAAGATTTAAATTGACAAAAGGGTTTAATTTGTTAAAAGGGAACCCTAGATATTTTTTATAATTTTTCCTTAGAAAATGTATTATATATTAGATTATATTATTTATAGACTATTCACCCAAAAAAGTTAAATTATATGTATAATAATAGAAACTCAATAGCAAATTGTATAGATATTTTATACATATATATATATATATATATATATATTCTGTAAAAATTTAACAATATATTATACACATGTAATATTATTATTTATATATTGCTATAATTGCGAGTTGGGCAAGATTCGGATGAAAAGTACTGTCGCCCAGCCCCCAACCCGAACCCAATTGGGTTTTTCAAAAATTTCTCCGAATTCAACCCTACCTATTCAATCACTCCCGAACTCATCCCATTAAGATCGGGAAAGTTGAGGACCAGACTGATCAAGGTGTTTTGCTATCCCTAGGCATATCTTGTGACCTCCAACAACATCCGACCACTATCTCTGGTAGACACATCCGGCCACCCAACTACTACTGGTCAGCACATCCATCCACTCTCCATCTAGAGCAACTCATCAAATACATTTCTCCACTTTTATTTTTATTTATTTTCAAAATATTTTTGTAAACCAAACAAGTTTTCTGTTTTTGTTTTTTACAAAAATAAATGAAAACATGTTTCTTGTTTTTTGTAAACTAAAAACTGAAAAGGTCAACAAACGAGGTCTGAACAATTACCAAATGCATAAACCTTTTTAGATTCTAAATAATAAAAAATAAGAAAAAAAGCTACAAAAGGCAATTGACAACACCCCTTTCTCAAGTCCCTTACAAAATGTGCATGACAGCCAATTAAAACTGCTTAACAATTTTGAAGTAATCAAATCACAGGTGGTACAAGTATTAACAGGTCCACTGTTGCCAGAGGTGGTTAAACGTATAACAAGCATATGATAAGGGGGGAAAAGAGGATAACAATAGTGCAAACACTGGCTTTAAAATAAAGGCTAGCCTATGTACCACAACATGGGGTCATAAAAAGTGTCCTATAAAGCCATGATCATTAAAATAATTAAGTGGGTCTTCTTGGTGAAGCAAAAAGCATAGTCAAATTGCTCAAAGTAACTACACACCAGCACTACAATCTTATTAACTCTACATGTGCTGCTATTCAATCATTTATCGTTCTTTTAACATAAGGTTCCTAAATAAATTCATAGGCAAAATTTCTCAAGCAACAAATTCAAGCAACTCCTGAGAAACAAGATTCAACAAGTCACCAAAGTAAATAAAATAGGTTCGTTATAGGCCACTATCCTTGGTGCTATTCTCTAAAAACCCGTAAGGATGGTTAGCCCTCATCATTGATAGAAAGTAAAAAACCAAGTGGATGTGAGTTTTCATTCAATGTGATTGTGTGCTAAACTTCACTGAACAAGTTAGCATCCTACAACAAAACTGAACTAAGATGGCCAACCAAACTTCACTGAATGTCGTCCTTGCAAGCACATACTCTCATTTCATCAGGCAGATTTCAACTTGGCTGATGTTGAGGCAAGGTGAGAAAGGGTCTTGTGTCCAACAAACATCAAGAAGATCCCCAAGAAACTAAGTGCTTTTAACGTTGTGAATAGATCCAACTGCAGAGAAATAACAATATTTACAGTCAAATGGCAGGGAGAGAAAATGGTTTTAATATCCAAATCTTTAGAAATATACTCAAGAAGTCGATGCTACCCTTTACTACCATGCAATAAAGGGTACACTTCTAGTAGCAAGTCTGCTGGCTAGCAGTCAAGGGTCTAAGAAAGGACAAGTGCAAAGTTAGAGATAGACCTTTAACCAGAAAAGCACATAGAGTGAGACAACTGCCGCAATGCCAAGATGGAACAAAATGGCAAATGTGGCAGATACTGTTGCTGTAGGGAAGTTCTTCAGGTTCATGCCGAGACACAATAGCTGTCAAAGATATCAAGAAGTATGCAATAAGTAAATGTCCACAAAACAGTTGGGATGTTTAAAGTAGTTGGAACGCAAAGTTATCCATCAAGCAGAACAACTAATGAGAGAAAAATCAGTACCTTCAAAACCCAGCATACAAGTAACCACAAAAACCATAATAGCTGAGTTTAAAGTTAGATGACAAATTAATGAAGATATTTCAACCACTTGATTATATTTCCTTCCCAAGAGAAATAAATAAACAGCTATTTTTCCCTTTTCTTTTCTTTTCTTTTCTTTTTTTAATGTTTGGGAACAGGGGATCATTATTGTTCCAAATTCACATTCAGGAATTCAGCAAATGCGCAAATGAACTTGGTACAGCCAATTTATCAGGCACACAGTGTTTTCAAGAAACAACTATTCAGCAGCGTAAACAATCTAGTACTCAAAAATGTCTGTACTCAATGAAAATACAGTAAGGATCTCTGGACCAAAGACTCACCCCAACCAAGAATCCAAGGAATGGCAAGAAAACAAGGGCCAAAAAGGCAAGAGAGAGCTCCTGAGGTGGACGCTTTTCTGGAGACCTGAAGATATGAGTTATCTCAGCTTTGGGTCCATATGTCAAATAAGGATCAACAGCTTGTGGAGGAGGGCGGGTAGCCTTCTCAGGTGGTTCTGGAAGATCTAATTCAATATGTCCCAGTTCTCGTAAGTAAGAGTTCTCCTGAAAACAAAAGTTTATAATTATTAAAAAAAATAAATAAAAATAAGAGAGATTTAGAGAGAAATAAACCTAAAATGTGAGTACAATTGAACAAATAAATAAAATAATAGAACTCAATGAGAAAAAAGTAGTGCTTACCATGACAGCATCACCAACAGTAAGTTGAATATCATATCTACCAGAGAGATAGAAAAACTTCTCAACCAGTCCGAGAAAATCCTACAAGACCAAACACCACATGTATAAGGAAACTACTACATCTAATCATCACTAATAGGTAAACTATCTTGTTGAATTCATAATTAATTTTCTTTTTAAGGTTAGTATGGTATAACAGACCAGATTGCATTGCAACATAACAATACACCCATGCTAAAGTCTTGTTACAAATTTCTATAGATTTGGGGGTTCATTTCATTTGAAAAAAGGAGGAAATGAAATTTAAGATTTGATTGATCGGAGGAACTTACTAGTGTGATCTCAAACTGTTTACCAGAGTTCCCCAAGACAAAGATGTGCTCCACTTTGGTCTCATGTCTCAACTTGAGAAATGCCTGCAGGCAAACAAAGTTCTTAGCAACCTTAATATAGGAAGAACATTATTAAAGAGACAAACCAAAAGCAGAATACAAACCTGATGTGGTTTAAATGGATGCCCAAGTGGAGTGGTCAATTGAAATGATAAACGCAGCTTTTGTAGATGGTTTGCTGATAATGAAAGAGCAGTCTCTCCAGCTAAATCTAGCCTAAAGAAAAAGCATAGCATGATGCAAATTTTAATCTCCTGAAGTAAAAAAATATAATGAATAACAACGTAATACAGAAAAATAACACATAAAGATCAATAAGTCATATTTCTTTTGATTGAAATAGAAGCATTTTTCTCACACCAAGAATCACATTGGAAGTTTGAAAAGTCAGAGATTTCAAATTAATCACAAACCTCAAAAAAAAATCGGTAAGGAGAGATATCAGTGTTCTATGGAACATGAAATTGAACAACAGCAGCATTTAAGAGAATTGGTTCAAGCATGTCAGTGGAAAAAAACAGGGGACTAAGCTATCGATAGCACTGTCTATTGATAAAAATGAAGAAAAACATAAACAAATCCACGTTAAAGGAAAAAGTAAGTGGCATACTTCTTCTGAGATTCTATGCTCCCAATATCACTGTCCAGTACTGCAATTTCGGCGTTGTCAACTTTAATAACTCCAGTGACATATATTGGTACTTTTGTTCGGCCTCCAGTGGCATAAATTTTCTTATGCTCCGAATCTTGTAGCACAATCTACCAAAAAAAGGATGAAAAAGGAAAAGAGGATGCACATAGAAAACAGACGAAGATCAGCCTCTTTGACACAGGAGATAGTGAGTAGGAGAGGAAAAACACGGGGACCTTTAGATCAGTAGGAAATGACAATAATAAATACAATTACCTCAAATACAAAAACATAATTGCCTACGTCAACACTCTTTGGCCATGCATCCAAGAAATGGACATCATTTTCTTGATCAAACTTGAGTTCCTGCATCAAGGAAAATGACAAGATAATTATGATACAACTTACAAGCTAGGCAAATTATGTTCATAAGCATCTGATAATAAAAAATTAAAAAAACAGTCCATGCAACACCTGGCTCTCGATTATAGAAGCATCCTTCGAACCAGAACTGAAAGCTTGCGTGAGTTTTACTGATAGAGGCGGCGCTGTAGATCCCAGTACAGTATTCACCCTAACCTGATAATCACAATATTATACCGATCAGTATTTAGCCATATAAGCTAAACTTTAAACTAGATCTTGGGAAGAATCATTTACCACTGGAGGTTATCAAGAGGTAGACCGAAACTTGACAGCTAAGAGTTAAAAGCCACTTAATGGAACTCAACTACCTTGGGAGAAGAGGACATCTATGAGTGTGGGGCGGTGTTCTGACTTAGTACATAATTGCAAAAATCCATTAAGTGGCCCTTTTTTAAAAAGACTCCAGATATCAAAAAGCCTGGACATGACTGGCCCTTTTTTTTAAGAATCTACCACACTAAGTATGGAATTCTGTTGCTAAAATTGCAAAAATCATTCAAAACAAGGAATTTTGTTCCTCAATCTCTACTGTTGGTAGTCATAATTGGATTTGACATTTACTTTTGTGATCATGGTAGCCTTGTAAACGTGGCTGTATTCTTTCAAACAGATTTAGTTAATTGGACCTATCATAATGAACGCACAAAAAAAATTTATCCTGACCGAATTCATATATCTCAATTCTTCACCTACCAACCCAAAAAAGAGAATATGTTCATGTTGGCGAAGAACTCACCATACAAGATATCCAAAACATATGGAGTAAGGAGGGAAATTGAAGTAAGCCATGTACTTAATAATCAAGATCGCATTGACAATAAGTCATAAAAGCACATTCTTAAAATACAAAGAAATAAATGAACAGAGATGAAAAACCTTGAGCTGGTCTTCTCTAGTCAGTGAAAGCACCGTAGCTGGAAGAGATAAAATCAGCGGAATGGAAACCCTGTAACAGAAAGAGATAAAAAAAAAAAGTCCAGATAATTTTGGAAGAAAGTTTTTTAAAAAGATGAAATAAAATAAAAAAACATATAAAGATTTCTAGTGAATGCCAGGGCAGGGAGTAAGTAAATCAGTATAACTAATTTTCATGACATTTTTTGGTGGAAAAGCTGTCAAAAATAACTCTTTCAATTTCCTAGTATCAAGCAAAAAAATATTGAAAGGAATACTAAACACATAATTGCAAGCATTATACCCGGGAAATAGAATTTGCATCTCCGAGAGCTTAAATAAACATTCCCACTAAAATGAAGTCCACACACATGTTAGCATTATGGAAATATTGTGTTTCCTTATTTATGATTATTAGTGGTAGCTTAGTTGTATTTCCTTTCTCGCCTAAAAAGGCTTCCATTGTAAATTACTTATTTTTCTAATATAAAAGGGGGTAACATTTCACAACCCTAAGTTGGTTTTTCTCCTAACAAACATGGTATCAGAGCCACTTGGCCCCGAGACCACCTGCCAGCACTACCACAGCTCCACCACATCCTCACCCTTCTCTCTGGCAGCCACCCATCATCACCCACACACTTCTGTGACTGCTAGACCCTATTTCGGAACTACCTTAGGCTTTCTAGGGCCAGCCGACAGCCACCCAAGCCCTGTCGGCCCTCTCTCTAGCCTCCTAGGGCATTGCCGACAGCCCCAACCCCTGTCAGCTCTCTCTCCAGCCTCCTAGGGCACTGCCAACAGCTTCTCAGATTAACAGGGAGCTGAAAAATTTATTCCATAGTCTGATCATATTTGTTTGGCCTGTTCTCTCCATTGCTGGTTTTATTTTTTGGTTGTTTAAGACTTCTTTGGGCTGTTTTGATTGAACCGTAAGATTCCTCTTTTCTTTTTCTTTGGGTCAATATATGGCCCTATTGCTCTTCTTTGACTAAGTATATGGCCTTACTGCTCCCCATGATTTGTGTAAACGTGCCTTGATCCCTGTTGTTTTTTTCTCTTCCAATAATAGTGTTGCAGGTTGTTGTTTGGATAGAAGTATATTGAGATGACTGAAAATACCAGTGAATCCACCATTAGTTTCCAGGCATCTAAAGGGCAGACTATTATGACCACTACATCCAAGAACCTCAATTCTAGCCTTAAAATCACCACCTCTTGTCAGAATTATCTTACTTGGTCACAATGTCTATAACACTTTTTTTGAAGAGTATGGGGGAGATGGGTTATGTTGATGAGAGAATCAAAGAACCTAGTACCAACAGATCCTAGTTATGACCAGTGGGGGATTACAAATTATCTGATTATGGGATGGCTCATACACTATATGGTTCCAGAGATTGGTGAAGGATACTTGTCCATGAATACTACTCAAGACATTTGGGAGGCCGTGGCTACTATTTATTCTCGGAAAGGGAATTTCTTACAGACGTTTGAGTTGCGCCGCTCCATTGAGCATTCAATACATGGTGAGATGACTATTCTTCAATACTTCACTTTTCTTAGCAATGACCGGAAGCGACTCAATCATCTTCAGGATTATAAGCCGGTTTGCCTGACTGATTCTATAGGTTGCCACAAATTTATTAAACAGGAGAGGGTCTTCAAATTTTTGAAGGGTCTCAATGTAGAGTTTGATCCTATTCAAAGTCCTATTCTTGGCATGAATGTCCTTCCTTCCCTTTAGGAAGCATTTGCCTATGTTCAGAATGAGGAGAGTAGCCGCTCAGCTATGCTACCTGTTGCCTCCACCGAGCACTCAGCCTTAGTCTATGCTCCTCCTAGAGATGGAGATTATCTGTCTCGTAGTACACACACTCCTTCTGAGAAGGATACTTTGTTCTGTGACTACTATCGCTGGCCTAGACACACTCGTGAGACATGTTGGAAGCTTCATGGTACTCCATCTAGGGGTCATGGTGACCGCTTTGGTAGTCAAAGGGGTCACTCTGGACAGTCTAGAGGACGTGGGTTTCAAAGTTTTAAAAGGCTTTCTTGAGGCTCGCCTCGCCTTGAGGCTAAGGTAAAACGCATCAAGGCTTTGATTTTTAGGCATTACTCCCCAAAGGCTTGCGCATCATAGTTTGAGACATGCGCCTTAAGTGCGCTTTTTACGCTTTTTGCGCATAAGCATGTGAGGAGTATGCATGTTCAACGCATTAAAGCGAAAAGTATTTACATATTTATATTTATATTTAATTTTGTTTTTATTTTTTTAACTATTTAAAAATATTTAATTTATTCAGTAAATATTAAAATTTGAAATTTGAAATGCTTACGCACTTTGGTGGGTTTAACTCACGTGCCCATCATTCTAGTGCAATTGATACACCTAACTCTGCTCCTGTTGTTCATGCTGTTCAATCTACAGATGTTGTGTCTAGTATGTCTACTTTTGAGTTTGAGGATACTCTACGTCACTTGCTAGACCGCCGGACTTCCTCTACTCCTACGAGTGCATCCTCCTCTTTGTTTGCCCATTCAGATAACTTAGTCTCTTCTACAAGTGTTTTCTCATCCCATAAAACTTTACCTTGGATCATTGATTCTGGTGCCTCAGATCATACGACTAGGTCTTTTGATCTTTTCTTAGAATACAAGCCTTATTTAGGTAAGGAAAAAGTTAGGATTGATGTTGGTATCATTTCTTCTATTTCTAGGAAAGGTTTAATCCATCTTTCATCTTCTTTACCTTTGTCTTCAGTCTTACATGTTCCCAGTTTCTCTGACAATCTTCTATCATTAAGTCATCTTACTCGGGACTTGAATTGCAATGTAATCTTTTTTTCCTGATCATTATCTTTTTCAAGACCTAATCACAAGGAGGATGATTGGCAGTGGTAGAATAGAGAATGATCTCTACATCTTGGATCAGACAGATCACTTGGTACATCATATCATCCCGTCTTCAGCCACCAAGGAAGACATTTGGCTTTGGCACTAGCGTCTGGGACATCCATCTTTTTTATTACTTAAAGCATTTATTTATGTTAAGTGTTAAGGGTAGTTTGGTCATTATGTCTTATTTTTATTAGTATAAATAGTTGTGTGTAAGAGGGAAACACTATGTTTTCGAATCAAATGATATACAGCAACTTCTCCCTCTCTCTCGTTCTGCTTTTGCAACTTCTTCTTCTTACTCTCATCTATACATTCAATATAGTATCAAAGCAATATCTTCCTCCTTGAAGATTGTTCCTCTTATTCTTCCCTCCTTGTATCTTGGCACATCTACAAAAAAAATAATAATAATAAAATAAAAATAAGTAAAAAATTGCTGTATGCTCAAAATTTAATGGGTATACACCCTATAATCTCCTTTTGATGTTTTAGTCATTATTGATTACTTTTTCCAATTTTTTTGATTTTTCGTCAAAATTGGGTATTTTCGAAAGTCACTGTTTGAACCTTTATTATTAGTTTTTTCCTTTCCCCTCACTTCTTGGGGAGCCGACTGGAACCCTAGCGGGGTTTGTTGTCCCTGGTTTGACGTATTTTGGCCACTACCTTGGCTTTTTCCTGTGTTTCGGATGTCTGCTTCAGTTTTTGGGCTTCTAATTGATCTGGTTGCTTTGTTCTAGGATTATCTTGCACTGTTTCAGCCTTAGAAGGTGAGTTGCTGTGCTAGTTAGGTGTTTTCTAGATTTGTTTGATATCCTGCTTGTGTTTCTGCTCCATCTTTCTCTCATCTCATGGCTACCAACGAAGGTCAAGACTCTTAGGGCAAAGAGGAGAGTGAACTAAGTCGTGGTATGACTCTTGGTGATAGTCCTTCTCTCCACATTAGTCCGATCAAGCTTAATGGTACCAATTACTTGATTTAGTCCCGCTCCTGCAGTCTTGCCATTGCCGCCCAGCGTTTAACTGGCTATATTTCTGGTAGTACCCAGCAACCTACTGAGGATAGTACTTTATTTGCTCAATAGATTTTTGAGAATGCTTTAGTTATGACCTGGCTAATCAATTCTATGGAGCCTACCATTAGTCGAACTTTTCTCTTGATGGATACTGTTCACAAGATTTGGATAGCCGTATCTCACATGTATTCTCAATAGGGTAACGATGCACAGGCCTATGAATTGAGAAAGAAGATTAGGGGCTTGGATCAGAAGGATCACTCTCTTGCAGTCTACTATGCGGAGTTGAGTGGTTTATGGCAAGAGCTAGATTACTATCAGAGTCTCCAGCTAGTTTGCTCCACAGATGCCACTATGTTTCAGTAGGCTGTAGAGAAGGAGCGGGTGTATGACATTCTTGTTGGCCTGACTTTGGAATATTATTAGATATGGGTTCAGGTGTTGGCTCGCTCTCCGTTTCCCACACTGCGCAAGGCTTATGCATTGGTTCAGCAAGAGAAGACTTGTCGTAGTGCTATGGTACATGCCCCTATTCAGGATCAATCAGCAATGGTTGCAGCCCCAAAGTCACGTGATACTCAGCCTAGTCAGCCTCCGGGTGGTGGTCAGGGTCCCTTGGTTGATCGGGACCGGTTGAAGTGTGATTATTGTGGGAAAGATAGACATGATAAAGAGCACTGTTGGAAGTTGCATGGTCGGCCTACTCAAGGCCGTGGTCGTGGTCGTGCTGTTCGTTCTCAAGATGCAGTTAGCCAAGAAGTTTGAGATCAAAGACCTTGGTCTATCAGTGTGTCTTTCTTGGTTATTCTACTACTCAAAAGGGCAACAAATGCTATGACCCTCACCCTCACACTCGTAAGCTGTATGTTAGTATGGATGTCACCTTCTGTGAATCTGAGCCTTTTTTCCCGTGTCCTCCGCTATCTCCTCAAGGGGAGAGTGTTACGGAGACTGCAGATGAGGCGGCATCATATCAGCACGAGTTGTCTTTTTTCCTTCCTAATCAACGGGCTATTATTTGTGGTGAGGGGGGAGCCTAAGATTCCTGTTGATGAGACTGATGTCAGTGGTCATTTGGACAGAGCTGATCTTAAGACTTATTTACGGCGTCAGAAAGAACAGACTTCTCTTGTGCCACCCAATCAATCATTATCTCTCCTGCCAGTTCCATACCCAGTTTCCACCGACTCTACAGGTAATGATCCTAAGCCTATTTCTTCACCAGTTGTTGATAGCCCTGTTGCTAATGATTTGAGTCTTTCTATTGCTCTTAGAAAGGGGGTTAGAGCCTGTACTCAACACCCCATTTCTAAATTTGTTTCATATGATTCGCTGTCTTCTACATATCATGCCTTTGTTTTGCCTCTTTCTTCTGTGTGTATTCCGCAGGATTGGAAAGAAGCTATAAATGAACCTAAGTAG